CCGGTTTCAGCCATTTCTGACCTTGAGTGTGAAACACGTTATTTTTAGAGAGAATTCTTCACAGATTAAGAACAGACCATGCAACAAAATTCATCATCCCTCGTCCACCAGTCTAAAACGTGATTGGTTCTACACACTCAACGACCCACCAGGTAACACTAGATTTTTAGCTCACCATGACATCTTACCCCACATACTACAATACTGTGCAATTTCCATATGAGATACTGCTGCTGCTGGTGATGATGAGGCGCTGGACAAACACACGGCTGTATCCCTTATTCGACCCGATGTAACAATAAGGACAGACTACTTGAAATCGAAAGATATGATTCTCATGTCTCATGGAATAGTTCCTCGATTGAAGCTTATTTTGGTTCAAGTGAGCAATGACTTATGCATCCAGTTCCATATATAGCAATATTACATGACGTAGTCATCAAACACTGCTGTACGGAATAGTTTCACTTGCGTTGAGCAGTTCATCAAAATTCAGTTCGGAAGATTCAGCTTTTTCTGCAAAACCGATGTGGAACGGAAGGGATTCACGTGTGGTGTACATTCTGACGCGCGAAGATTGTAGTTCAGTAGTCATTTTTGGACCGCTAATTTGAGCCAGATATGGGGGTGATCATGTTAGCAGCGGACGACATGGATGATGCAGTTATAGATACAGCAAAATCGAGTGTCTTTGAAATCGAGAGTACCGAGTGGATAATAACCGTGCGGTCAAAATTGATCACCTTCGGCTGTTCCGTCCCAGATTGTTAGTTCAATTTTCGCAACGACATGAAGAGTAGTTCACGTATTCCGAGCAGTTCAGTTACCGCATTCCTGAAATTTTATAACATTTAGATTACTTTTGATTTGCGTATCCGAAGACGGTTTTTCGTCAACCTGTACCGTTTGATTTTTCCGGTGTTAAGCGTTTCCCGGACTGCTGATGTGTCACGTTCCAGGTGGTCCCGATGATTTTGATGTCATCTACAGTATATGTAACGCCTGAATAATTGCGAGAGCGCAAGGTTGCCGGACACAGTGAAGCGGGCACGGATGAAGGCGACAGACGATCGATTACACGACCACAATCAGTTGCGCGTGTGTGCATGTCTGTTCTCTGATCATCTGATCGCACTTGAGGCTCATGTGCTACACTGTCCCGTTCGGTCAGAAGTTTAACCCAGATCGACTGCATCTATATACGTGTCCTAACAAGCACACTTGAACTTTAATGTTTGTGAATCTAACACCTTAGCCGAATGGTGCTTCAGATGGAAGCTAACAATTACGTGAAGCATTGACCCAGTCTCTCGACAATAGCATGTGTTCAGGATTCAGTCACATATGGTTCGATGGATGGATGTTCGCTGCCGGTGAATTGTAAAACAAGCGAGAAAATTTCACGACTGCGTGTGTGTTGTATTCTAATTGTGATTTTTGAAAGCGTAGTAATTGGTAATCCCGAATATCAACGCTAGTTGTGCATCTTTTCTAAAACCCGTCGTATTTATTTTGAAGTCAATTCTCTTTCACACTCTATCTGTCTTAAATTAGTACAATGTTTCATCTGAAATATTGGAACACAAGATGCAAGTGAAATACGATTTCGATTTGCCACAAGACCTCGAACTGCTGCGGTCGTCTATTGATTCGGGCAGTAAATATCCCAAGGGCTGATTGACAGTTTGTCCAACTCATGTGACCGTATTGGGCAAACAAAAGTCCATTTGCATTCACGCACCAGTACAAAGAAGCGAAGCACATTGGAAAGAATAATACGTGGAGGTGTATTGGTCTATAACAAAAAAAGGAACTTACCGCGCAGGTTTGAGCAGTGCTTGCAAATGTTCATCCAACTTGTGTGCGGTGGCCACTGACAACGGTATGTGAAGGTGTTTCATTAGACGCGTCAGGTCAAATGTGGGATCTAGCACCATGTAAGCACCGTGGAGTCCGGTCCCATCAATGCCCTCTGTGAAAGCCTGAATGAATAGAATGCAGTGTAAGAGAAGAGGCGCATAATGCAAATGTGTACTGATAACATGATTTATGAGGAAAACTGAAATAAAAATGGCAATTCTGTTAGTCGATTAGGATAAGGTGGTACGGGTTAGCACGAAATCTGTCCAAATAACGAATATGCCAACTCCGCCGTTGCCGCCTAACTTTTACAGTTCATTGTTTCCGCAGTCATTCGACTAGCCGCTTAGCTCCATAGCGAGAAAAAGTTGCGTAATTCCAACTCAATACAAGAAGACAGAAATATTATGGTGACAGTAATTGTTAGTATTACTACTCCAAGATTAACCTTCTGTCGAACTCAAGAAGCAAAAAAAAACTGAACGATATTTTTTGTTACCCGCTAAGTTTTTCACACCGTGCGTTTACCACTCCCATCGAAGCACTGATTTCGTCTCCACTGCAAAAATAAGGAGGATGCTAGATGGTGCGATTTTTGTTTACTGGGATTGGCGAACGCGTGTGATGGATCACTTTTCACTGAATATTGATGCCAGTCAATATAGGCAACAACAATAAATGAGCTTCCGATTAACAACAGTAGCTTTAATCAGCCAGTGAGAATAAATAGGGAAACTCAAGTGTGGACTGTACTCGTGAGCAAACACAGGATTAGGTCGTGGAATCCGGTTATGGATTTCTCAGTCGTTGATTGAGCTGACTCAGGTGAATGGAGTTCATTCAAGCGACATCGGATAGCCGAAATCAAATCTGTAACACTTTGCTCTGTAAACTCTCATGTGCTTGAATGGCAGAGAAAGTTCTGCGCATTCTAGGCGTGCGTGTGCAAACGTGAACCTGTGTGCGGGTGATTGTGTATGTGTGTGTGTGCGAGTGAAAACTGCTCGAAAGTATAACCTCCTATACGGTGTACAGCGTTGCTAAGGCCATTTTAGAGTCGATCAATAATTAGCATTGATGATTGATGCGTACCGTCCGACCGGCCTAATTACTCCAGCGAACGCACATTTGGATTCGACCACGGACGGATCGAGTGACGAAATCCCTCTCCGTCCGCGCTCCCCTCCGGATCGGTCGATGGCTCCGACTGAGCACGGCGAATATTCATCTGCAGTTCCTTTACCGGATAAGGATAAGACTGTATGAATTGAAGGCTGATATCAAGCACGCATAGCAGGCAAATCATTTTGGGATTTGGGAATAAGAAGCAGTCGGTTGAAAATACGTATGAGGTCAAACTTGAAACACTCCCCAAAACATCACCTTAGAGCAGTCTTTTCATATTTCTCTCTCTTTGGTTGAAGTTCCCAGTTTTCATGAGTGACCATTGGTTTCTTATCATTGGAGTTAAGAGTCAATCCACTCCAGTTTTATATTAATTTAGTTAGTCCAAGCAGATGCCTCCAAAAGCCTCGGTGTTGTCCGGGGCGCGTGTCTAGAGTTGCGGCTGGTCACCCTTCCCTTGCACCTCGCGAAATGCTCCCGTTAGACCAAGCGTCTCAACTAGCGTCTATGGAGGTAGCGCTGCTCACTGCCTACTCATGGCGGAGGTTTTTTCCCATCAAAGTGAGAGGACGAAAAGCCGACATAAGGGGCTATANGCGTGTCTAGAGTTGCGGCTGGTCACCCTTCCCTTGCACCTCGCGAAATGCTCCCGTTAGACCAAGCGTCTCAACTAGCGTCTATGGAGGTAGCCCTGCTCAGTGGCTCGTGGCGGAGGTCTTTTCCCACCAAAGTGAGAGGACGAAAAGGCGATATCCGGGGCTATAACCGGGTTGGTGGACCACTGGTTGTTCATCTAGGGCAGTTGGCCAAAAACCCTGATTCCAAGCCAATCAAGAAGAGGTGTACCAACCACACAGACCCTCCCGGTTGTGGCAGTGATCACCGGCTCAATTGGGCACCTTGGACGTTTGACTCAGCCCGAAGGGCGTATCATCCGATGAACTAGGCACCGGCTCTCAATGGATTGGGGTTTTCGCACATCACCCTGCTGCCTTGCGAGTCACGCTTTGGCTAATCGAAGGCTCCGGTTGTGGATTCCTCAACAAAATTTACCTGCTGCGGCCTGGGCAACCTGGCAGTATTCCGTCCACATGCAAACCATGGAACGTTTTTATTTTCATAAAGATTATTGCACCATGATTTGTTTGGCACACAGTCTGGATTCAGACGTGTGTGAAAATATGAAATATGTATGAAAGCAGATTCAAGTTATCTACCGGAATCTTCCACCACATAAGAATTCTGTCCTCAATCGGTCCCTGCATAAAGTCGCAACTCTGTTCTATCTACGTTCCTCCCGATTTTATGTGAACCTTTTTAGCAACACAATAAACACTATTTTTGGTTCGTGAGTTGCTCCTTCTTTACACAGATAGAATAGTTTCTACCATGTTAAAGTTTCCAAGGCCAATGCAGCAGGTCGCCGGTATATCACACACGATATGGCCCAGTATTCTGAAGAACCATGTGTGAAATGAAGGACCACCACCTATCGTCTACTGCCCAACTCCTGAGAGATGATAGCAAACAATTTGTTTGGCAGGTTTTTTGCCTCATCTGCGGTCATCAAAAAACTCTGAAGAGAGACAGTTTTGACATCAATGAATTGAACAACTTCATTTCGACTGTTCGCCGAGCTTGGCAATTTGTTCGCAAACGTTTGATCACCATCCGAGGTGACATCATCAGTGCATTCATCCGAGTTGTAGCTTTTAAACACAAAAGTTGTCAGGCTTCTCCGACCCTATCAATCAAGGTTTGCAGTTGGATCTGATAGCCTATTTCCAGTGCTCCTCAAGTACGGTGCTGGACCATTAAGTGGGTTATTGACGGCCTTGATCAATAAACCCGTTGATGCCTGCTCTATTCCTAATCCATGCAACCCTGGTAATGCTTTCTCCATCGCCAAAAAGTCTATGTATGACATTTTATCTATCTTTTTTGTCCCATCGCAATCATCGCTTTCGTACCGTAATTCACTGAATGTGCTATTCTTAGCCGACTAAAGGTCTTTCTTAAAGGCACCCCAAGATCCTTTTCAATTTGGTTATAAAATAAACTGCTCTACGTTGGACGCCATGCAATCAACCATTCACTTTTGCACTAAGTCTCTCAACGAGGTCCATCGTATAATTATTGATTATTCATCTGCGCTCGACTCGGTTCCTCGATCTTCTCTTCACCACAAATTTCAATGGTTTGGTTGCCCTACGAGGATACTCTTGTAATTAAAAGACTGGTTAACTGACAATGTTCAAAGCACCAAGCTGGAAAGGAATCTATCTTGTATATTGGTAAATAACCCTAGAGTTTTTCAAGGTGTAGTCCTTTCTCCTACCAGTTTGGTACTGG